TAGAAGTCAAGGGCGTATGCAGCGGGAGATGGCTGAAACTTTCAATTTATGGCGTACAAACTTAAGATACACGTTAAAAAGGCATGACCAGACCGCCTTTTACACAAGAAGACGGAGAAGTGGGGAATTAAGGTGTAAATCAGCGCGCGATGATCCGATTATCGTGCTTGCAATATCAAGAAATCTGGTCCTCACTACGTTTGAGATACGCCAGCGTTTACAAACAGCAAGCCCAGTGAATGTCAGGGAGCACACAATAAGAAGAAGGATGGAGGATCATAACCTGCATACTCGAAGACCAGCTCAAGGACCAGAACTTCTCAGATACCTTCGCGAAGTGCGACTTACGTTTTCTAGAGAACATGCAAATTGGACGTTAGACTAATGGAGTAAACTCTTTATGAAAACTGTCTGTTTGGGTAGTAACTCTTCTCCGCACCTTCTCTATACACTTCCACGGACGTCTGGAGCTCTTAAGGTGACTCTGCAATCATCGATCCATAGAACTTTACTCCATTAGCCTTGCGTCCAATTTGCATGTTCTCTAGAAAACGTAAGTCGCACTTCTCGAAGGTATCTGAGAAGTTCTGGTCCTCGAACTGGTCTTCGAGTATACAGGTTATGATCATCCATCCTTCTTCTTATTGTGTGCTCACTGACATTCACTGGGCTTGCTGTTTGTAAACGCTGGCGTATCTCAAACGTAGTGAGAACCCGATTTTTTGATATTGCAAGCACGACAATCGGGTCATCGCGCGCTGATTTACACCTTAATTCCCCACTTCTTGATCTTCTTGTGTAAAAAGCGGTCTGGTCATGCCTTTTTAACGTGTATTTTAAGTTTGTACGCCATAAATTGAAAGTTTCAGCCATCTCCCGCTGCATACGCTCTTGACATGTAAGCAACACTATTTGAGCAACTTGAGCTGGAGTAATGGGCATTATTCTCAAATTATGGAAACGAGAATAACCCTAAGATTAATTTAAAAACAAAAAACAAGACACCAAACCCTTACAACATTTAATATCGAATTTAAACTTACCCGTACTCTTTACGCTCCAACAACGAAATGCGTTTCTAAAGTCAAAAAAGTTAAACAGACGCATTTTTTTTATTAATCTAGCCTCTTAAATTAACAAAAAAAAATGTTCTGTTAACATGTCACACGAAATTAAGGTATACAACACCTATTTGGCCCCATATCTGGTTGTTTAGGCTTGGGCCAAATTCCGTGCCGCTGAGTGTATTTGTTAATTAAAAGTAGAATGCAGTTACTAATACACATCATTTCATATTATCCCAAGATGTAACGAAACGATAAATATTAATTTATTAAAAAAGAAAACAATAACTTAATTTCATAGATAAGAAAGAAAAACACTAACAGGTACCTATATCAAACTGGAATAAAAACAGACAGAAACTCAAGAAGAACAAGAAATATTAATAGAGCTTGAGAAAGCACTAAAGCAGTGTTCAATGTTCACAGTTACATGAAACAGTACTGAATCTGTTCCAAGCTCCTTAGTTCCACCTTTGCCTTTGGTAACCGCACAGGGGCTGCACAAACGAGCGCGTTCATTATCAATAAGTCACGTCTGTGTATTACAGTGCTTAGTCCTTCCCTCCTTTGTTCCTAGTATTCTGTAATGGAATAGTTAATTCCAGGGATTGTTCGGTTATTCGTACCTACAAAGGTCATGTTTGATTTTCATTTGTTTTTAATGGAAAAGCCCGCTTTCAATTGTTTAATAACTGGCCAATTATTTTTTTTTTCAACTACGAATCAGTCATTAGACTATCCCGCCCGCATTTGTTTGAAAGTAGACCAGTAATTTGACATTTCTTTTTTTTTCAGCTACGAAACAGGCAACGGAATCGCAGCGCATGAGAGCGGGGCCCCTCGCGCCTCTGGCCCTGAAGGTCTCGCCGTGACAGCTGAAGGCGGATTCTCCTACCGCGCCCCTGATGGTCAGCAGATCTCCCTGACCTACACTGCTGATGAAAATGGATTCCACCCTACCGGCTCCCACATCCCCACTCCTCCCCCAATCCCAGAGGCTATCCTCCGCTCCCTGCAACAGAACAGGCAGTATCCTTCTTCGTAAGTATTTTTTACATTTTGTAAAATAGATATAACCGAACAATTTCAATATAATTAAATTCAAGAATCAGTTAACATGTGAGAAAATATTACATATTGTGGGGAAACTTCAACTTCAGTAAATGATTTCTTAAGACAGCATTTCAAGCTTTCGATAGTTGACGATAAGAAATATAAGAGTATAAGTACCTAAATATAGCGTCTTATTTCCTTTGATAAATATGAAATCTGCATTCCCCACTGAAACTTGAAAGAAATCACTAGCTTTTCATAACTTTATGAGATTTGCTTTACTGAGCATAAAGCTGAGTTATGAAATACTTTTATAGCTCGCTGAATCTAAAAGTTCCCGTCAGAGAAATTGAGTTCTTGTTTTGTGTCATTCAATTTATGATATCTACTTATATTTTATTTTTCTTTCTAGTAACGACGGATACTACAACAGTGGCAGATACAACCATGGTGGTTATTATTAAGTAGTACTTCTTTCATAAAGAGGTGTATACAGATATTTTGTAATGGCAGCCGGCGAGTTTCAAAGGACTGAAGATTTAATGTAATATATTTATATTGTACTATTTATAAAGCTTTAAATAAATGAACGATGATTTAAAAACTTTTCTTTTCTTATATTCCACGTTGTGGAAATTTTATCATTATAAACAACACTTTAAAACCATATAAATAAACTATGCCAAATATGTAGTTAAAGGACCAACATCTTAATAAAAACTATTATATTTGAACCAAGTTATTGATGTGATAGTGTTATACAGTTTGTACAAATGACTGGCTGGCTATATTGCCTTAAAAAAGTAAAACAGAATCCCGCCATTTTTCAATTGTCTTTCTGTCATAAATATAATATATTTATGACAGATAAAACAAGGAACATAAACATGTTTTTTTTTCACTACATATTATGTAGTGAAAAAAAAACATGTCTTATGTTCCTTGTTTTAAATAAGTAGGTACGTCACACACACAGTGACATAACACAATACATGACAAAGTTAGCACAAACAAAGTTAGTAAAGCACTTTCAATCTGGTAGAAGTCAAAGATACAGGTCATTGTGAATTTGTGATAATAGTGAAGCCATTCCTGAAAAAAATATAGAGCAAGAGCGGCAAAACAAGCCTAATTGGTATCGGTAAGTAGGTATGAGTTTTTATACAATGTTTATGTGCTTTAAATTACGTAGGAACTTTTTCTCAATTAGTGTAAAATAGGTTTACCTACATATTTATCACATTAAATGGTCTGTATCTTGTCATTTTCAAATACCTACGAACTTATTCTTATAATAGTACCTAATTAGTTTTAACAACCAAAAAACTACGTACAGTGCCCATAATTTATTAAGTTTTTAGTTTTAGTTAAGTTCGGGTTGGTGCTGAAAATATTGCTGGGGTCCTATTTGAAATTTCTGAAAAAACACAATATTATGTACGATTCTAAACTCAAACTTAATATTTATTGTGCGTTATTATACAATGTTATTCAAAACTTATCATTATTTTATTTAAACACCTGCAAGTTTCACCTCACATCAAATTGACGCGCTTAATTAAAACGCTCATTATCGTTCAGTATCAGTATCGCGAGATTTAACAATCAACGTAATTTAGCGCAGGACCCGATAAATGTAAATAATTTGAAATGTCACTGGAAATTGATTTAATTTAGGGACAATAGCTGGAATGTTGATTTTACAAATAATACATGAAGAGTTTATAAGAGTAGGTACATGAATGTATGAAACCTACAATGGAACAAAGAATGTTTGTCTTATGCCCGTTTTCACTATCAATCCCTAATTTTTAAGTGACTCCTATAAAAACTAATTGTGTTACCATAGGAGTCACTTATAAATGAGGGATTGATGGTGAAAACGGGCATTAGCCTGTTGCGTGGGGGCACGCATGCGAACGATTCTTCGACTCGTATACCTACTGCCCCACTAAGCGCGACCAGAGGGACCCGACTGGGTTTTAGTGGGTAGGCCTTGCCCTTCAGGCGAGGAGAGCACCACATAACTCATCGGCTCCCCCGGGCTGGTGAGTATGCAGTTTCATGCATTTTCCACTCGAAAAAAAAAAGGCGCAGACCACTGACTTTTATTTGGCTGATAGCTGGGCCTGATTTTGCGTGAACTTTTGTTAATAGATTTTAATATTTTCATTTTATTTAATCCAGAACATAGCAGATTTTTGACTGCAAATACACGAGATGCAGCCTAGTATGCAGTATGGTGGGTCTATAAGTATCTATTCACTTTCGCCTGGAGGAACCATGTTTTAAGCTGTTTGTCAAATGTTGGTTTTCCGCTAAACGGCTTGCACATGTATTACGTATTATGTAAGCTATAAATTACTGTATTGGATTGAAAAAGAGGCTGACAAAGGTGACTGAGTTTCTTTCGCCACTTCTTCTCCGCACCAGCCCATATGTTGTCCCGAAGTGGTGGTAGGGCAAGCTATGTTTGGGACGTTTATAAGTGCCCTGGAAAGGGCCTATGTACTGAATAAACTATTAGAATTTGAATTAGCAATGTTTAAGTATTTGCTATCTCTTCAGTTTTGCTCGATAGAATCTTTGGCGTAATCTGAATAATACAATAAGTTTTATGACGTATAGGAACATTTATTAAATTAAATTCGTTATTCCATTAATACTAAAGGTAAGTAAACGCTATTTGTCAAAAAGGTGACTTGATCGAGAATGTGTATTTCATAGTCTAAATATTAATACCTACCTACTTTAATATTAATAGCTTTCCAATACGATAATGTTATTGTTTATGGAATAAATGAAGTGACTATGACCTAATTATGATTACTTGGTAAAACAAAAAACAACGTTTCAAAGCAACATCTTTATTCTGTTTAATATTATTTATGAAATAAATATTAATAAGTTATTTTGCGATGATATCACAGTTCATGGCTTTGAGGTATGCTATAATTTATGTTGTCGCTGTAAGTCCATTTTCATATTTTTTACACAAGTTTCTTTCAGTAGCGGTAGGAGTTCCGTCCACCGTTGTAAGCGCCATTGTCTCTGAAAAAGCAAGAAACATGATTAATATGCAAAACATCTACTTTTTAGATATAATATAAGATTTTAGGGACGGTTAGAAACGTTTTCCCTACTGGTTTACTGCTGTCAGTTCATAATTGCATAACACTAATTGAGGCTATCTACTCAATTCTCAATGGATTATTTCGTTCACTAAGTACTATGAGTCTAATGCCCGTTTTCACCATCAATCCCTAATTTTAAGTGACCCTTATAAAAACAAAATTTCTGTTATGTATTACCATAGGGTTTACTTAAAAATTAGGGATTGATGGGGAAAACGGGCATAAATATTTTTATCTAATAGATTATGCTTTCATGAAGGAGCATGTACTGATTGGGAAATTTGATAGCGCGTCATGATATCCTAACAGCTATGTTTTACCATAAGACTTCTTTTAATACCATTTTAGTGACCAGCATAAAATAGAGACCATAAATGATATTCGATAGTTTACGAGTACTTACGATGAAGGATGCTGTCTGTTGTACTCCAGCGAGCGGAGGATAGCATCAGGGATGGGCGGCGGGGTGGGTATATGGGACCCAGTGGGGTGGAAGCCGTTTTCGTCCGCGGTGTACGAGATTGAGATCTGCTGGCCGTCGGGCGCTCGGTACGAGAAACCTCCTTCCGATGTGACAGCTGGGCCCTCGGGACCCGACGCGCGAGGCGCGCCGCTCTCGTGAGCTGATATGCCAGTCGGGGTGTCATAGCTGGAAATGTTTAAAAGTAGATTAATATTAAATCATTAGTGAACGTTTGATACTTGCGTGAGTTTCTTAAATCTGTAATATCAGGTAAAGTAACAAATATCCATCCAATATGCACCCTTACTCACAAGCTAACGTGTTACTACTTACTGATGAAAAGTTACAAAAATGTGTAAGAGAAACTTAACGGTATTCTACTTGTTAAAGACGGTTTGATCTGCTTCTCTGTCATCTGTTTACTGGCAGTGCAAAAAACTGTCACTGTAAAATAAAAGATGGCGTGGTCGAAGATGGAGTCTGTACGCATAGCAGACGGTCTGCGCATAGGTGGAACATGTCGGGAAAGGCCTCGCTACACCGGCTCCCATCTATGCTCAGCGAGACGGAGATGGTGGATTTTTAGTGGGTAGGCCCCTCCCTTCTGGAGGGGAGAGCCCCACATAACCCGTCGCCTGACCACAGCGGCGGGTATGCAACTCAATGCATTTTTACCACCGAAAAAAAAAAAAAAAAAAGGGTACGGATGTATTTCGTTAGTCATAAAATAAGAGTAAAAAATTGCACTGGTTAGTAATCGGTCTCCAGGGCCCAATAGCTTTAGCAAATTCATACCGCAATCTAAAGTTATGAGCTCGCCCACGGAGTGAATGGGTTTGCTTCACATTTAGTTGCATGAAATAACTGAAAAAACGTTATTTAAGCCAATTTTTCTTTTTGAAACAAACATTTTTTTTTAATTTATTGAACTATGGTATCAAACTCACAAAGCTGGAAGTAAAAATGCTTTTTAAGAGTCTAATTGCATAGAAAATTACTTACTTTTATAACTTTCAAAACTAGTCCACTGTTTAAAATTGATTAAAATTTGAGATAGTAATTTCACTTTACATAATTCCACCATGGTCGGTTTAATCAAAATATATCATCTGCTGTATAAAGGCCTACCCCAATATTTCACACAATTTACTTACATTGCAAAATTATCTCTAACACCCTGTATAAGTTACACAATTACAAAACATTTTAGTACTATTACACGTAATAGTACAAATTCAAATTAGTAGTTATTAATTCGATAGCAGCGTGGTCACGAAACCCATTTGATTTCTGTAAAACCGATTAGTGGCAAAGTTCAGGATCCCTGTCCGACTAAAGGTCTACCTAAAACAGGTGTGATTAGCCAAAGTTCAAAGCACCGAACCAACTGTAGGTAAGTAGTTAACATTCTTAAAGTGGGCGGAACTGCTTTGTGGGAAATCCTTCTCAATGCTAGTGTGATGCTATTGAATAATCTGTTGAATAGCAGTACGATTTTGCGGTAGAAACTCGTCACGGTGTTTCTAAAAATGGGCCAAGATGAGCTACTTTTAAGCAATTTTAGTGCCTTAATTAGAGAGGTCTGTTTGATTCATTAAGATTGTACCTGTGATTTTTTGTTTTAAATTGCACTAGATATATCCGAATTTTGGATCAAGGACGTTTTCGTCTTTGTTTTGTTATATTTTGGCCACATTAGCGATAATTTTAGCACACTTCAAACGTTAAGTGAAAATTTTCTGTAAAAGCTCTACAAATTAGTATTTAAATCTCTTGATATCTTACTTATACAATTTACTCAACGTTTGAAGCATGTTAATATTCGTTTAAAGTTCGCCACAATACATTAAAGAAATCCTTCTTTGCTGGGTTGTGGTGAACTTAATACTATATGACATCTTCTTCCAGTCAACCTTCGAGTCAAGCAGAAAATTGAGTTTTTATGATTGTTATGTGTTTTCATACCTGAATCGGTAAGTCCCATCGCCATTGTTGACGTTTTCGAAGCGGGAGGGGCCAGCATTGAAACCTCCGGAGTACCCCGTAAGATGGTCGAGACGGCCACCAGCAGCGAAGCCCAGCAGCGCAACGGACAATAGAACTAACTGAAATTAGCAACAAGGGGTTTGTAAAGGCTTTTGAAAAGAAAGAGACAATTTTCCTGTGAATTTTACTGGAGGTCCCCAGAGAAAACACACGCTCGTACCTAAATATTCGGGACTTCTTATTTCGTGTCAGGGATATAGTGTAAAATGTTTTATGTGTAAACATTATATAATCAGTCCAGTGATTTCAAAAACTGAGCGTCTTTGAAAATGTTGATAAAAAGAAATTTACTTCGAGTTTAAAATTACTGCGAGTCATTCTTTTTAAGAATGAATTAACAATTAATCTTATTGAGTAAAAATAGCACAAGAAAAATCGACACAATGACTATAGCAGCAAAAAAGCTAGCTCAAGATAAAAATGGTTCTTGAATTTACAGAATTTAGTACTACTTACAGATAGAAAAGAAATGGATGAAATTAAATTTTCACCAGCCTTATTAAATTTAGAAGGGATAATGAGTCTACGAATTTATTGAAAGAAGATTAGAAAACATTTGTAATTTGAAAATAAGGTGCCTTCAGAAAGAAAATTCAATATCTACCCACACACCACAGTCTTATTAATTTTCCCAAAAAACGTGTTATTCGTTTCTCTGAATGACACTTTATCATTCCAAAATTGGCGATGAACCTATCAAAAATAATATTATTACTGTAAACAAAAAATGATTTTCCCTTTTCTCATTTTTCCGAGTAGCTTTCCGTAATGCCTCTACGCGGCAAAGAAAATTGACGGCGCATCTTAAATGCTGCATATTGTTGTTAGGAGAACAATAGGGGCTTCATATGGTTTCTTTATTGTACAGCAGAGCGAGTTATAAAGCTGTGTCTGTATTAATGATGGAAAATACTTTTATCAAAAACAAAAGAAAAACAATGTAGAAGAAAGTGCCCTGTCGCGTGTCTTTTGTTTTTTGGGTGTGTTACTTTTGGCCAGGATTGATAGATTGAAAAGTTATTGACATTTTGGACTTTTATTTTTTACGATATTAAAGAAAAAGAAACATTATATTGTTATAATATTATCAAAATCCCCATGTCGTTGGTTTTTGTTTTTGTATACAATCATGTGTTACTTTTTAGTTTGTAAGACATAAATGAACGCAAAGTAATAATATTTTTGTTTTTTTAATGATTTTCGAGGAAAGATTTTAGTGGAAAAGATTTTTGGTGACTTTTTTTTGGAAAAGTTGAGAGCCTTATCAATGTTATCGGCTCAATTCGATATCGATTGTGAATCCGTAATCCAACTTACCAGGATCGACATTGTGAGTTTGGCGAGTGTCTGTTGAGTGTTGGTGTGGCAAGGATGCGCGCGTTTATATCGGCCGGCGCTGCCCTTTCGGCGGGTTGCCTCACCTTGCTCGTATTGTTGAACCGTGCTGGGATGCGTGTAAGTGATGAGAGGTGTTGACGTGTTAGACATAAAGGCAGACAGCCCGGCAACTAATTTATGATCAAAAATATTTGAAGGTATGTAATGTTTTTTTTTTTCTTACATAAATAAGCTCTAGGAGCTGAATATGATGTTAAGAAAATATTAACTTGGAAATTATGAATCTACAGTAAACTAGATGTTGACTAACTGATACCAAAAAATGATTATGAATGACAACTTTTCCGTTTTCTAAATGTTTAATCAGTAGGTAAGAACTTATTAAGGGATTAAAAAATTCATTTAAATTAGATGCAATTACTGAATACACTATTATAATTAACATTTTGTAAGTAGAATACTAAAAACATAATCATGTCAAACCAGGCAGAAAGTACCGACAGTTATCAATTTAAGCGTCTCTACATCATTTTGTAATGAAACTTACGATCGCATCATTTTTACTTTTCTAGAAAACGCAATTTACACTCAAATTTCCACAAACTAGTGTAGTACAAACGCCATCGCTGCTACCTCGGGCCGCGGCATTTCCCTCTGATGGCACCCCGTCGGGCACCGCCCCTAGTTCCGCACGCAAGGTGAGAATGTAAACTATAACAGGCACTTAACTATGTTCAAGTCCTGCCCTTTCGACCTGGCCGGGCCCACAACGCTTCATTTATCATAACCGCCGTATCTGATGTAAAGTACAGCAGCCGTATCGAGGATCGAGGATCTGAAGTTTTGTAGTAAAATATTGGATAAGGATAAAAAAGGTTGGCTTTAAAATCGCGATACTAATTTACAAGATTTTTTTAAATCGCATGAAATTTTAATGAATCTTCGTGAATTCTCCAGTGTATCAACATGAAAGCATGCAACATGCTTTCTGAAGCATGTAAGTATTGATGACTGTCATGCATCTACAGTATTCTACAGTGCAAGTAGAATACAAGCTACAGTGGAAAAAAGGACTGCTTTACTGTATTACGATATACAAATGTGTCTTCTAAATACAGATCTTCGAGTGTCAACTTAGCCTCAATTAAATAATATTCTGTACAGATAAGCAGTCTGAAGTTGGAACCTTAAAAATTCTAAAGCTTAAAAGCTCCAATATCTTACTTCTTTATAGGACACTCTTCGTTGTCTTCTCGTACTCGTAGAATAGTAAAATGTACCAAGAAAGTTAAATGTTAGTTTTAGATATCATGTTACTAGTTTCTAATCTTTAGCTAAACTGTAAATTGTTCGCATCTTCAAACATTATAATCGTTGTGTTCAAATTGCAAAATTATCGACGCAACAAATTATTGTGACCAACTAAAACAATGAGGATCATTTACCTCCGTGTAGTTGCAGAGATAAAAAACATTTTGATTTTATTTCAAATTCGTCAAAATTGAACGCATATCAGGACTTTGTATGCGTTGATTTTGCTACGAGTATATCACAGAAATAACCCTAAAATTATACTACTATTTAATTGATATTCACATTTTGTCGAACAGAACTGGCAGTAGGCTGGTCCAATACCTTTCACAGAACAGAGGCATTAGGAAAAAACTAGAATTTGTGTTGACCACATCTTTTTAAAAATCTTTATTTGACATTAAATAGACACAAAATAACAATAACATAACAGTGTAGGTATGATGTTCCTATTTCATAGACTGACAACCTCAAACTGGATAAAAAAGAGAGCGATCGTGCTCGGCAGGTGTCAACTGGTTCATGATGATCAGCAATTTTCACAGCACTACGAAGAAAGTAAAAATAATCATTTTAGTTTGGATACCCACATAAAAGGTTGGTCACCACTGACAAGATGTAAATACTTGCGGAGTCACAGATCGGGAGGTGCATTCAGACTCGATGTTTATGCACTGCCGGTGCCAAGCCGATTGAGATCTCGAAGAATTCGACGAGTTATGGACTGGAATGCCGCACAGACGTTATATTCTATTGTGTGATATTAGATATTGCTTTGTACAAACAATACAGAGATAGATAACAGGAAGAGTTAAGGTTCTACATTTTGGAATTGCAGTTGTAGGTATTGTATCAAATGTTTGTGTGAGGAAGAATTTTACCCACCTAAACACATTGGTCTAACATTTGTTAAAAAATTGAGCTTTGAATGAACTTTACACGTAAATTATTTTTTGAAAAAACATAATTAAATCTCAACGTCCCAATGACTTTTTGTAGTTCCTTTTCTTAACGTCATCATCAAATGGTGTTACTGAAAGAGCACAACCCTCTCCATGAAAATAAATAGGATTTTATCAACACTCGCATTTCTTAAAATAGCAAAAGGAAAGCGAGCAATGACCTCGTTTCACCTATTTTAATAAAGTTTATTCATATTTATCAGGCTTGTAGAGCAGCAAAAATCCAGTAATATAATTTAACGCTCTTAACTAAAATAAAATTATCGGGTAGCGTTAAAGAACTGAAATTTGAGAGACGAATTCTCACGTTTTACGAAATTACTTTCAAACTGTGTACGACTGGAATATACTTACTTATAATAAAAGCTGAAGTAAATTTATAATATAATTCAAGTAAGAAGACAAGTTCATCGACATTACACATTGATATTCGTGTGAAATAATGACTTAATAATAGCTACGGGGTCATAGGCTCGATAGTTCACGTCAGGGACCTAACAATGTTTTACACTTACAATGAGAGGTGAAGACAATATCATCGACGAAACTACGAGTTATCTGGCATCCTCATATAGTATGCTAAACAAGAATAGCATACAATACATAATAGCAAGTTATACAGCGGAGATAAGGCATGAACCGACAACGCAGTTCTATGTAATAGTAAAGGTCTATAGTGTCTGCTTCTTTGTTTAGATCCGTTGATGATATCGGAGCGCTTTTTTCAGCTGTGAGTCGAATAAAATTGCATGTCTTAAAGAAAATAGTGTTAGGAATACAGATGACTTGATATGGAATCTGTGTTTGCTTGATGAAATCCAGTAGGTGGGTAGGGGAACCTGTTGAACCTTGGACAGAGTTGTACCTAAAACAATTGTATATATTTTTTAAATTATGCGGTTTTATGAAAAGTTGTCTAGGGTATTACATACGTTATTTGTCAACATTAACGTGTAGTTAGCTAAGATTCGCCGACGCCGTGCAAGTACAAGAAAAAATGGTAATTTAATATTTTACACTGACGCAGTGAGTTTTTGGAGGTTTACTTCATGTCAATTTATGAAAAATGTTGCATGTTTGACAAAACGGTTATAGTTAGAACATAATCTTTATATATCTAGCTACTGGACGATACGAGTTTCAGATCCTAAGCTCAAATGGAAGTGGGTATAGTGTGCTTATTAAGTGAAGTAGTCGCAATGTTGTACCTTGACCACCCAACTAGCGATGTACCTTGGTCACTGATTTTCATACGTTTTAATGAGAATTTTATTGTAATAAAAAAAACATATCATACTGTTATAGATACAATGCCCCGAAGACCTCAAAATAGCAATTTAAAGTCTGTTTTTGATATGTATTTTTTTAATTTCTAATGTTTTTTAAATTTACGTTTAATGTATCTTCATATGACATTTTTAAGATTATTTTTGTTGATAAAGCGGTTTTAATGGATATTTTGCTAGAATTTATGTTAAATGATAAGAAATAAAAAAAACTAGATTGCAAGTTAAAGCCACTCCAGCGCGTATTTTGTCCTACACGACATAACATATCAACATTCAACAAAATTTTCTAGAAAAAATGTTGAATATTGTCATATTTTAGTTGATTGTGTAAGGCTGAACATGGACTGGAGAGCCGGCTTAAACTTAAGTGATTTGTTGCCAAAAAATTGTGAAAAATAATTAGTACAAAAAATATGGATGAGGATCTTTTTAAAAAAATACTTTTACTTAGATATTGTTGCTAATAACTGTAATAATTGGTATTTCAAATAATAATTTAACAGAAAATTAACAAATTGAAGCGAATATAAGCATTTATTTAAATTTAAATAGGTACAACGTACACGGTCCAAGGTACACCTGGTTTGTTGTACCTAGGACAGTTTTCCCTTTTTTTTTCTAGCAGCTAGTATGCCCAAATTTTTTAAATTATACACAATTTTATGAATGAATTATGTAGTTAATTAAATGATCTTTAAATATAACTGCACTAGACAAGTTTAACTATCACCATTATTTTTCAAAAAATCAAAATTCGAAAAACTGGCCTAAGTACAACAGGTTCCCCTACTTACATTTATAGATTCAATAACACCTGTTAAGTATTTAGTAGATTCTAAACTATTGATGTAAAATTTGGCCCAGAATACCGGCAATAAAACAAAATTCAGGTAGGGACTTCGTTGCAGACAAAATTGAAATTCACAGCAGAAATTAGACTTCAACGCAAACGCAAAGGCTCTTTTATTTTTACGTGAAATAAGACTTTTTGGAAGTCCTTTACTGTGCAGATCGTCTCATTACTTGAGTGTTATCTTTATGCTCTTTTCCATAGTTTAAACGCGTGAAAGAACAAAAGCTACTTGTTAAATAATTCCGGATGATGTCACACAAAGTAAGCACATGCATGTATTCGAACACCTACGGCCTTTTTTGTGGATCTCTTTTCAGTGACGTAAAGCGTGACCGTACAAAGAGATTCGAGACGTAGGATGGTCTTTGAGAAAATCCTGATGAATACCTAAGGTTCTTATCGTAAAATAATGTTCAGAAAGCTCCAAACATTTTCTGAACGTCACTACAAAATAAAAGACTGAAAAAAGTTTATTTGTACCTACATAAAAACAAGTGAGTCTTTACCTCACAGTATAGAGCTATTCCAGTCCGTAAATTATTTAGTCACCAAACTAAATTACAATTTTCAATTGTACAATTAAAGTTACCAATGTTGTGTTCATTATTTGAACCGC